TTTTTTTTTTTTTACATGAAAGGTACAGCCCTCAATGAATGCATGTTAACGGAGAATGTTTGGAGATTTGGGGCATGTCTGAATTTCCCAAGTTTTGTATTTCCCCTCCTTGGTCCCAGGATCAGTCACTACATTCAGGTACTGACACCTCCAATCACAGGGCATCTCTCAAATGAACAGGTGATTGACAATGATCTGATGTTGCCTAGTTTTGAACGTGGAAACCAACTATTGCTCCCTGTTACCTCCCCATGTCCACTCTGATCTTAAGTCTTCCTAGCAGTTTTAGACAATGTCAGCAAAATCTAACATAATAGAAGAAAGATTCCAAATGATAGCTTTGAAATAGAAATTCAAAGTGCATCTCAAGTCACTAAATCCTAAGTGTCCTTCCTGGATGAGACCACTAATCGGGGCATCATCACTATGGTACTTGAGCAGTCACTGGCTGTGTACATATAAGACACTGATATACTCACTTTCAACACATAATGTACCAAACATTTTATCAAGGGATGAACTTCTACTAGAAATGAAGGAAAATATACTTTGTCATTCCTAAATTAAAAGAAGCCTACAGACTTCCTACGGTCACTATTGCTGATAACCTCCCACTTCCATGCCATCCATCTTTCCATCCATCTATCTCAGGTGTGTATATTACAGGCCTGTACAGAGCACGGCCTGTAAACAGCCTTTGTTTTCTACTGCCCTCATCAGGACTCCCTCTACTACTCCTAAGCTTCTAGAATTTTCTTTTGAAATTGAGACTTTTTTTATGGAGCAATTTGGGAGAAATTGAACACAAGTCCAAAAACATGACTGTATTACAGAGCTATTTATCAGCGCGTGGAAGGGAATTTACGATCTCCAACCCCTTATAACATCAGAGCAGGGAAACAGACAGTGGATGGGATTGCATGTATGTTGCTGGGCCCTGTCCATCAGCCTTTGAAAATTCACATGAAGAGAACAGAAAGCTTTCAAAACTTTTGAGCTAAAATAGAAGTTATTTAGCATTTTAGCCGAACAATTTGAAATCTTCATATCTGCTGACACAATTCCCTTTACTAACTGTATAAGCACTTGTTTTTAGAAACAAAAATAAGTAAAAATTAGTTCCAACAATGTAGTCTCACCTAGATATCATAGAACAAGTTCATCACAACTCAAGAGCAATGTTTTTAAAAACGCATTCTGACATGAATAAATGATACATCAGTCATTATGGAATAATCTCAACGTTAAAAAAAATAAATAAAATAAAACCCTCCAAAGACTCTGCAAGAGCTTCTGTATACTCTGAGTCGAGCTTGCTCTGTGGTTGCCAGTGTCTAACAGTAAACAGCCCCACTGCATTTATTGGCAATTACTGCTGAAGGTCACACATCAGCAGTGAGCCTAAATTCCAGGAAAAAAAGCAGCTCTTATGTAACTGCCGCCTGAATGTTGGCAGGTGCCCAACCCAGCAGTTCAAAGCAATGTAAAAAAGTAGGACATCTCCACCCTACGTTAGGCGTCATGAGAACGCCCCCTGAAGGTGAAATGTAATCATTCTTGTGTTTCTTTTTTCCCCGAGTTTTATGCAGTAACCTGTCAGTGGCATCTTCTGCCTGTATGGAAGCTCAAAGTGGGAGAAGTTGAGACTCAACACAGGCAGGCCGCAGCTGCCTGAAAAACTGGCAATGTCAGTCTGGCTTTTTTGGTGCAATGCAGGATGGCAAATTTGCTAGCTGACACCAGGGGCTCTGGAGGTTCCCTGGTTCCAGTGACAGTGATTCAATGGGGATCATATCTCAAATACGTAGAAATGGACACATCCACTGAGCTACAGCACACACTTTGTAAACACACCAATCCTTTCCAAAGACCCATATATGAAAACGAGATGGACCACTGTTCTGCTCACCACCTCTGCCTGAAGTTTGGTATCTCATCAGAATCATGGCACTTTATGGTTTAGAAAAGCGACATGATCACTACTCACCTGTTGTCACCTGACTCCCACTGCTTAGGCAGAAGTCCCTAGAGTACATGTTCTCATGCCCCATGTATTTCTCCTTGCTAACATTTCTCATGGTTGATAGCTGTCATTTTACATGAATTTGTATGTATCATTTTTCATCTGTCCCTCAAAACTATAAACTCCAGAATGACACACACTAGTGCCTGTTTGGGTCACCACTGTATCCAAATCCCCCACCACCTTGCCTGGAATATAACAGGCACTTGAAAATTAGTCATATAAATAAACGTCTTTAACATCATCCAGTGTCTGTTTAAAGCCAAGAATGGGTAGATGAGGGTACTTTCTGGGGTGATGGAAACATTCGATATCTTGATTTGGGTGGTGCATACGGATGTAACAATTCATCAAACTACACACTTAATGTGCCAGGGAGATGGGGGACGCTGATGCAAACAGTTTCCTTTTCTCCTCCACCTTATCTGTCCCCCAACCCCTGATGGAAAAGGTAAAATTGGGGGGTAACAATAGAGACTGCCTCTTTATCTGCCAAAAACAAAAATAAAAACCAAAAGCCCTCTTCTTGGTTTCAAAGGAAATTTGATTCTAGAAGACGGCTGGGCAGGCCCCACACCATGCACTTTCCTTGCAGGGAGTCTCTGACTCTGTCCTCGTTTCACCCTGTCCTCTCAGAGCACTGACGGGGACTCAGGCGTTGTGTTTTGTTCAGTCGTTCACTGCACATCTCTCCTGAGATGCCCAGCTGGCCTTTATCATCAAAGGGTAGTAGCCCTTGCTTGATCAGGGGATCATGGGTCCCAGACAGGCCTTATACTATCTTGGGGGCTATTTCCCACCCTGGTTAGAATCTGGGACATCGGCTTGCAGGTTAGGTGTGAGGCCTCGCCCCAGTCCTGGGCTGGCATAAACTATTATTAATCTCCTGCAGAATTCCAGCTGTGGGCTGCAGGTTTTCAGGATCACACACTGGCAGAGGGCTGGTGGCGGAGAAACCACAGAAGCCATAGCAGTTTCCAGAATATCATCAATGATAAAGGCCTATCAGACATCTCTGCTTATAGGGCCAGATCCAACAGCCTGAAGGACTGGGGACAGGGTGTTGGTGTCCCTGGGCTCTGATGGTTGCCAAGGGTAACAACGCAGAAGGGATCCACAGTTGCTTCCTCAGGGAATTTTCAAAGAATCCAAGTGGCTGCCAGAACATTCTTCCTTTATAAACAGACAGTATTCTATTTCCTAGAGTATAATTATAAACACACCTGCTCCAACTGTGGAATCTTTCCATAAGCGAGCAATAAACTCCCAGCCAGGAGACCCAAGTTCTATCTTGAGCAAGCAAACACATCAACTGATTACTATGGTGCAAAACAGTATATTAATAACACCACACACTCCGATTAGGGAAAGTTTTCCCTTCCCGACTTAACTTGTACTTAAGCAAACAGAAAATCAACCTCAATATTTCAGAGGAAAAATTTAAATCAGCAAGGCATTTACAACTCTAGGTAATAACAAGAGTATTGAGGAGTGTCAGCATGCAAATTCAGCATAGGATATTTTTCTAGCATACAAATACCTGGAAGAGGGAAAGCTAAACAGGAAATGGCAAAAATCTCTGTAGGTAAAGCAATTAATTAAGCTGCTGCATCCCCTTTTGTTTTTCTCACCTTCTCATTGTCCCAGAAGGCACAGCCTCCTCACCTGTTCACATCTGATTAACATGAGGAAAAGTCTGTGCTTACAGAATCTACTGTGGTAGAACAGTAAGGAGCCGAGCCAGCTACAGGCTAGGACTAGTTCAGCTCCTCTTCTAGCTGTGTGAACTAAGGCCAGTCATTTAACCTCTCTGAGCGCCATTCCTGAGGCAACCGGACCAAACAGAATCACCCATGTTGCTTTCAGTTTTACATTTGCAATTCAAATCCTCCTTAGGTGCATCTGAACCATTCCTTAGTATGTCTGAAATTATGGCATATTAATCAGAGTAGACTTTATAGCAAACAACATGTCCTAGTTGGTAGCTCTATCTCAAAATAAGGCATTAGTTGGCCTACCAACTATTTGGAACAGATATCCAAAGCAGACCAGAAAAATGATTTCAAAAAGTCAAATAAAATTTTACTACCATGTGCTCAATTATACCCTCTTGATTATATACATTAATTCTCCAAATCAATTTTTTCTGGTACCATTTACCTAGAATATATTGCAGCCTAAAAATATGGCAAGGAATGTTGAAAAATATGCACAAAACAAAAAATATTTAAGAGGCCTTAAATCCCAAACAAAATGACTACTCCTCAGTCTCCACAATAATTCTGGGTAAATGAAACTAATTTGATACCTAAGTACAGAACCTATTGGATGACATTTCAATTTCTGGATCTACAGGAAGATTTCCTAAAAGAGAAACCATGGATATAGGACATTCCTAATCCTGTAGTGAGCCTGCAGCTGGAAAGTCTCAAACAGCAGTTTGAAATTCACACTGCGCTTTGAAAAATTTTATATGACCCCTCACACTCAATACTTTTCAACACATAGACCAAAAGAGTAGTGGGGTTTTTCTTTTACTACTTTCAAACTATACCAATGCAATCGTATCTTTTTGCATCAGATGCTTTATATACAGATAGAAAAGCTGTGTCAACACCAAAATTGAGTTTTAGAGATAAGTTAATGGCCAATGTCAACCACAAATTCAGTTGAGAGTCTAGACAGTGAATGACTGAAATCTTATCACAGTTCAGAAAATCTTCATCTAGACTCAGATGGGATCTCTGAGGATGAATGGCAAACAAACTCATGGGAAATGTGAACACAGACACGAGGGGCTCCACTCAGTTCCAGAAGGCACACTCCACACAGTCAGATAGCAGACACTGAGGACAGGTCACAGCACTCATGGGAAAAGTGTCATGGAAACAGTACCATGGGACATTTAAAAAAAAAAAAAAAAGACAACCAAACAACAAAATTAGGACCTCTGCATTATCCAATTCATCAATGGAAATTAGCTGGAAAAGAAAAAAGGGGGGAGAGAAAGAAGGAAACGTTAGGAAAGGCAATACAAGCCAAATACATGTTAGAAACTTCGCAAATGTACTGTTACTGCTGACTCCTCCACTTTAAAGCATTGTTAGCTGTGGCCCTCTTAAGTGGTTGTGGCATTCTGAACATGGCCACAGCTCACAGTGGCATTTGCTCTGGAAGAAAATGGGCAGGATGCTGCCACACTTTATCCACACACCAGGCACCAAACCTCATGGGTCACTTATCTAAGTATCACAGAACCTTGTGCTTGCTTGCAGACATGAGAACGGAACTGAGCCAGGAGTGAGGGCAAATTCCCCAATGTTTTCTTAGAAGAGGGTGGGAAAGAGCAAAGCAAAAGATGAGAGGAGGATGAACTCAGCTTAGGAGAAAATTCCTTCTATAGATTCATTTTATGATTCCATAGGGGTCAGGAGCCCAAACTGCAGTTGGGCTGGACAGAACCAGCTTTAACGTCAGCAGGAAATAAGACCAACATATCCCAAGGCTGGGAATGTTGGTGATTAAAGAAAGCAACATTTCCCCTAGGATGATGAGTGCCGACTCAAGTGATATTAGTAACACGGGATGTAAAAACAAAACACAAGAGAATTATCACAATTATGTTTGTTTAAGGATAGAGGGTTGATCCTCAGCTGATTTTTATTATGCTTCGTTAATATTTAGTACATTTTGCAAATTTAAGTTCCTGTTAGAAACACAGATAGCCAGAAATGCTAATCCTTTAATTCACCTAGGGCAAAGTGGCTTTGGTAATTAACAGGGGACTGACAATTTGTATGAAATGAAAACCCAGACATTACCTGAGGTTAAATACTCTCTAGTACTAAAACAGCTACTACTATTCAGAAGGGAAAATGGATTTTAAATAAATTCTGAGATACCCTTTTACATTTGTTCCTGGCCTCTGAATTTCTTTCCAGAGCTCTTTGACTAATAACTTAAGTCAACAGCAGCTTAATAAAAAAACCTACAGTAAACTACAGAGTAGCCAATACATAAAATAACTATGCTCCTTTTTCAAGCAGGGTGCAGAGGCTTGAAGATTTTCTATGAGTTACAGAGAGATTCTGATTAAATTTTAGAGATATTTAGCTATGGGAGGTTATTTTTTAAAAAAACAAGGACACGATTTAAGCTGTAGATTAAAACCAGTGTTTACTAGGCATTGCACACACAAAGTCCTGATATAATTTTTAAGTTTATTAACTTTGAATCCATAGGATAGAAAGACACTAAAAGTATCATACAAAAAATGTGTTTTAGTGATCATTTACATTATTTATATTTTCCACTCTCTGAGAAGACTATGCATTGCTGCCCCTTTGCAACATCGAGTCATTATAGTTAAAAGTGGTCATGACTAAAACCTAATTTTATGACTGTCTTCTCCAACCAGCCCTGAAATATTTCATCATATGTGATCATTCTTAGACGGGCACTTTTGGGGGCATTGGACCAAGACAAGTGAACCAATGACTTGCTACTCACTAATCTAACTCTTTCATATGGGACCTGATCAAAACTAAAGGTTTTGGATGACCATGGGACAATCACAATTTGTACAGTCACTAAGTATCAATTGGAGACTGTCTTCAACTGGGTAAAAAAAAAAAAAAAATCAGACCTTAGCTGAACCGTCGATATTTAAGTTCACTACATCTAGTGCTGTTAGGGCCACTACCTGCCCCATGTCATTTACATAATTGTGTATCATAATGGAAACAAATGTTAAACCTGCAGGTTCACTTCAAAACACTCAAATAGTGTCAATCTGTTCACTTATGACACAGTGGTAAAGAGCTAGGACTCTGGAATCAGACTGTGTGTCTGGGTTTGAATTCCTGGCTCCTTTGTTATTAGCGGTGTGACCCTAGGCAAGTGTTTGAATTTCTCTGAGCTAATGTTTTCTTCCTCATGTAAAATAGTTCATAACAGTAGTGATATCTATCTCTGTGACTGATCTCAGATAAGATAGGAGATGTGCTTAGTACAGCAGCTGGCATATAATAAGAGGTCAATAAATATTAATCACTGTTATTTAAGATATACTCTGGGAAATTACTCAGTATATATAACATTTAAAAAGTGTAAGTCAGTCTTACAGTGATTCTGTTGTGTTTTAGTCTGTCTGGTAACATGGGTGACAGTTCTTGATGGTCTTTTTATTCAGGCAAGTAGACCATCTAAGCACACCAACATGAACCAGATATTAAAGAATAATTCAACTTTCTCTTTCATCTGTGACCTTGACTAAATCCCAAAGTTGCATGAAAATGTAGAGATAGATAAAGGCACTTAAGTTTCATCATCTTTAAGGATTATACCTTAGGAAAAAAAAAAAAAAGGAGAGAGAAGAAAACATGGCCCATACACCATGGACACCACCTGGGGAGGCTGGAAAAGACACTGCAGTGGGATGTGAGAAACCCAGACTCCAGTCTTGATCCTGCTACGTACTTTCCATGTGACCTTGGGCAGTCGCTGTAACTCTCAGCTCCAGCCTCCTCGTGTGCAGAGGGAGGGTTGGGTGAGGCGTGCCAGAGGCCCCTCCAGATCAGATTTGACATTGTGCAGATTCAGGACAGGGCAGGGAAGCAGAAGAATTTTGCATATCCCCAGGAAGGTGTTAGTCATGGAACAAGTCCCACGTAAGAGGCGACTAATAGGAAAACTGAGATGGGAGGAGGAAAACAGCCTCAGCACTCACCCTGGTGTCCTCGGCACCCGGGCCAAAGAATACCTCATTTATTGTATTGGCTAAAGCCAACTGGTTTGCCTGAGAAAGGTTAGTTCTCTGGCTGGGGGTCACTTCCACACTGGAAAAAATTGACCTGAGCTGTGCGTCACACTCTTTAGTCAAATGGGGATAGCAGGAAAACCATCAAAAGCGTCTTCATGAAGCAAAGTTAATACCAACTACCCGATCTGGAGAAACAGACATACTTTAGTGTGCCTCTCTCTTTTTTAAAGTCCAATCAATGTGAATGGTTAAGTAGCATTTCCCAACAGTCAAAGCACTAGGCCAGCAGCATTGCGAGTACGTGCTGTAGGTTTTTGAGCTGCTGACTAAAATGGGTTTCTAGAATGTCTTCCTCGGTTTTATGGCATTTCCCACACTTGCTTATAGTATTTTCACTTCCGTGAAGGGGGATGACAGCCACAACCAGACTGGAAATAAATGTCATCTTTCTTCCAAGGCTCTCTGCTTGGGTGTGACTACATTCTTCACCAGCTGAAAAGGGATTTGAGCTAGGGCCCAAGAACCTCTTCTAAACCCTGATAATTTACACTTTCAGAGTGATCTCCATCCTCTTTCCTCTAAACCCCAGGCTCTGTCATAGTCTGTGAGGTTTACAACAGGCCACGTCACAGCATTCCAAATGTGGTGTCCCCCCCCAGCCGGTGCTGAGGTTCTCCCAATTGGCACCAGTGGGTGGGCAGGGGCCGGGCAGCAGGCCTGCCACATAGCCCCAAAGGCCCCAACGTAATTATCTGCCAAGCAACAGAAACTCAGTGAACTCCCAATGCTTTTGCTTCCCATGTTATGAAAAGAAAACTGAAGGCAAACACACGTATAATCACAACCACTCTCATTCTCTAGAGCAGACATCAAAGTTTACTTTCAGTACCTCGTTTATAGAAAGGAACTGATACTCCAAATAAGAGATAACTGTGGTCTTCAATTTGAAAACCAAGTTTTATGCTCCACAGACACAAATATATTCACTTAGCTAGTTAAGGCTCCTCCACTAGATTTGATCTTATGATGGAATGAGAGCCTCTATAACTACAATCATATTTTAAAAACATGTCTGAAAGCTCACTTTAAGAAAGATCTTGTGAAATAAATGGTTATTATTTATTTGTCTGGTAAGTGTATCCCTGCCAACAGCCTTTTCTTTTTCCCTTTTTTATTTTATTTTAGAGCAAGACCTACTAGATGCCTAGATAGGTGTATATATGAACAGGACATCTCACCATTTCTCACCTTTACCAGGGTTCTTTGCTTCTTTTATTTACATTTATAAACCTTTGTCTGGCAGGTTTCCTCCACAGAATTCCTACTGAGTTATAGAAACCTATTTTCTAGTTAGTCAACATTTAATCACCTTTTAATTTATATATTTTTAAAAATTTAGAGTGACATTTAAAAGCTTTAGGATGTGGGGACAGGGGAGAATGTATATTGCAATAGAGACTGCGTACTTTATTCTTTTCTTTTTCTTATCCAAGGACTCTCACTCATAAAGTTGCTCTAATGTTAATGAGCGCTATCACTTAGGTTAGAAAGCAAGATTCCTGAAGACTTTTATACTTGTAATGCTCTGACTGTCACCATCCATTTGGCAAGGCAGGCTGTGATTTGATTATCAAGGCTTCCTTCGAGAGCTGAAAAAATGAAGTGGTGAGTATTTTTCATAAGTCACTGATATCAGTGTATTTATTCAGAAATTTTTGCTACAATGGCCAGCAGACAATTAGTGAATGTTATCACCTTCAAATGAAAACTGGTGAAGTTTCAACTTATACCCATGATTTTTTTGCTGGAGCTGGAAGAAGGCACAGGGGGACTGTTTCTGTCCCACTTTGCCCAACACCCAAGGTGGGAGGAATGGTCTGGGCATGTCCTTGCTCACGGCACATACTAAGAAGTATCAGGTTGTGGGAACGGTCCATTCCACAATGTCAATCAGAAATGGTGACGTTTCCCTGACTTAATTCCAGTTAGAACTGCAGGGAGTGCCTTGAAGTACTGGAAGGATTGATAACATCTCACCAGAAAGCAGGTAAACCGTAGGTATGTTTCACTGGAACCCCAAACTCAGGAATGCATACTTTGATACACAAGAGGCATTGATTAACTTCTCGCTGGGAATTTAAATGGATGAAAAATCACGTTACTAGTACTTCTCCAACATTAGATTATGTGGCAATCAGCCCGTAGGAGACAGCTAAGTCTATCTGACTTTTAAAGGAGACAGTCATACGATCTAGCTACTGCTAGGGACAGGATAAACAGCTTTAAAAAATGTTAGCTCCTTAGTAATGCCTGAACTGAGGTGGATTTCTAAAGAACCCCCCACCCGCACTTTCATTTAGTAGTCAGACATGGTTTTAACATGAAAATAAAAAGCAGTACCTTTTCTCCATAGCCTCTATCTTTGGTCATCATTTCCCTGAGGGTCTGCAGGACTTTAATGCAGAGTTTCTCCTCATTCTCCTCTAACAGCTGTTTAGTGTGCTTTATTAACCTAAATGGGGGGAAAACCATGGATTATGTCCCTGAAACTACCTTTAAATTAAAAACACGTCACAAGCAACTTATTGTAACTAGTCAGTTAATAAACAATATTTATTGAGGGCTCCCAGGTGATACACTCCAGGGCATTCACTGCGCGAACAGCCAGTCAGCAACCGTGTCTCGATAGCACCACCTGCTGGTCGGTAACAGCAAACAGGCTCTGGGACAGGAGTGGGCCCATACAATGGAGAGATTATATGGAGACACGAAACTAGACAGAGGTCCACTCAAACCTGCTCGTTTAGAAAGTGTGCTATTTATCCACGGAGGATTGCCAGTAAAATGGCTAAAATACGCCAATAGTGCGAGAAAACCTCATGAGGCCAATGGCTGGGACAAACACACACTGTTCCCTTATCCACAGTCTTGTCTGTAGAGGGGCCCAGAAAAGTAAGAAACTTATAGGTAGAGCCCACCCCTGAGCTAAACAAACAACTAACCTTAGGATGGAAATCAAAGTTTTTTTTCAGATTATGCCCCAAGGCATAAATTAAGAAACTACAAAATTGTTAGGAAAAGATCATGAGGTCATGATAGGTCCAGGATTTTTGAGGGTGGAAGGCTCATGACTTTATGTCTGCACCACAGCACATGGTAGATACTCTGCAAACACTTGTTGAATGGAAAACAAATGAACAAGCATGCAGTTAAAATGAAAAATTCTCACCAAAAAGAAAAAAACAAAGAAAAGAAAAAACAAAACAGTGTCAGTTAAGTAGGATTTAATTGACAAACTTACTTTGGGAAGGTCAGAACAGGGCTTTAGCACATGACCTTGCATTCATCAAAGTTAAAAACCAGGACAACGTCTCCTTCTTCAGGAACAAATGCTTTGTCTGGTCATCAGGGTTCTGGCAACTGACCACCCCAGAGAGAGAGGCCGCTTACTTGCAAATGAAACCGCCACTTTCACATTTTCTTCTGGCATCTGTGTTCTCTGGGAAAAGCAGCTCAGGTCTGTGAAGAACATCCACCAGCACAGATAACTCTGCCTGTACCAGGGGCCGGAGACGGTCCTCCAGCGCTGAGACGATGTCCTGGAACGGAAGCACAGCCTTGGTCGACAGCTCAGGCGGAGGCTGACTACAGGAGGGTAAGAACACTGATTTCTGCCCTAAAACCTGATGCACAGGCTACGCTAGCTTAGAGGAACTTTAGTACTGTCTGGCATTTATCTCAAATGATTAGACACTGACCAGTGGTTACCTGAAGCATTAGGCCCTGATGCAGAAAACAAAGGAAAAACAAGTCAACATTCCCACCACCCCTTCTTTTAAGATGGCCTTATGCTACTCAAGGGATCATTCCATATATTTGAAAATATAACGCAAAACATACATTTAACAACATGGAAAGATGTCTACAATATGAGTGTAAAAATGGTCAAACAATAGCATGGACTCTGTGATCCTATTTTTACAGATATCAATATCTAAAGGATCAACACGAAATATTATTAAAACCTCACTACTGATTTTCTCTGGGTGGTGGGATTACAGGCGATTCTAAATTTCTTCTATATATCAGTATTTCTCAGTGTTGTCTAATTATTTTCAATGAGCATGAATTATTCACACAATAAAAAGTCATATAAACATGAGAACACAAATGAATGAACATGCTGTATCAACATGCTAAATACATGTACCCTGATAGCATGATGGTCTTCAAATGCAAAACACATAGCTGTAGGAAAGGAAAACAGAGAGAAGTTGAAAGAGCAGCAAAACTAACACAACAAACACCATTTAAAGGCAAATGATAGAAAACAGATGAGAAATTATCTTCAAAAGATGCCAAATCCTGCTCTATGGCTTGGTGACTTAGAAACTTACAAGAGGCATGCTGTCTAGGTCAGGGGCAGAACACAGCACATTGGATAATACAGGAGGGCCTCCTTAACCAAGGACATATGCATAGGAAAAGCATTCACCTCTACTGGGGACCCAATGGGGTCAAGAAAGAATTGATCTCTTGTCCAGAGACTACAACTAAACGACATGAAGATAATTTTATCCTATTTTTAACAAAATATGGGTGATAACTATAATCACTCAAAAAATGTTTAGGATGCATAAAGAATACATGAATGAATCAAATTATTTCTTTTGGGGAGCACTGTTCCCAACTACATTGTAAGATAGTACCTTGCAACATCCCAATAATTTCTAATGACCAATCACAGCACAATCCACAACAGAGTCATTTTTGCAAAATTCTCTGAGGGTCTCATCAATTTCCTCAATAATTTCCCCTTTAGAAGTACCCTGTCAATTTCTTCTTCTTCAATAGTTACTGGTCCTAACTGGCAAATCTTTGTCTACAGCATTTGCATGGTATTGAAGTATTTCTTTAACATCACATTCATGTACTTCATGAAATCCTGCATCTTTTGCAAAGCTGGAGCTTTACATGGCAATTGATTTTCACTGCATTGTCAAATATATACCATTCGGCAATCAGGAAGAGACCAGCAAAGACGGTGAAGTAATGGGAAGGGAAAGACACCAGTGTTAAGGGAGAAGATGTCTAAATGGGGATTAATTATAGTGGTCAGTTTGCGAGTGAATGTTCTTATATTAAGACAGCAATGTCATAATTACAGGGACTCAGGCACTAAATAATTGAATAACGAGGATCCCTTAAGCCATTGGCCAAGTATTTATAACAGGCATCACCTACTTACATATTATATTTCATTCCCCAAGAACATGCATGATAAATCTAAGAAGAGTACAAGAAACTGGTGTGTTTGCAGGTAACATATTCAGTTTGAACAGGCAAGAAAATACTGTGTGTTCACAGAGTAATGAGTCTATAATATCATTCCCCTTTCTAAAAGCGCAGTGGGGTCAGGAAGCACTCCATTAGGAACCAAGTTGCTATTGTGTGGTTCTGTTATGATAAAGCCTGAAATTCTTACCTTGACCCGGGAAGCCCTGCCAACCTGCCCAGCTCCCTGGGCTGCAGCCACACTAACCTTTCTGTGGCCTTTGAATGCACCATATTCTTTTCTGTGTAATGGTCTCTGCACAGGCTATTACCCTCTCTCCCATTCTTTACATCCTACTGCTCCTTCTGATCTTGGTTCAAATGTTACTTCTTCAGCAAAGTCTTCCTTGACCCCTAGTTCCAGGCAAAATTAGGTTCCTTATCAGAGTTTTTCAAGCACTACTCACTTCTCCTCTACAACATTCATCCCTCTTGCCATTCCATGTTTTCTGTGTGGTCAGCTAATTAATATCTGTCTCCCTTCTAAAACTTGAACTAATTTGTCCTTAGGTAAGTTGTGTAACCTCACAGAGACTCGGTTACTTCACCTAATGTCAGTGATTAGTATTATACTCACAGCAGTAAAAGCAATAGTGGTAACAATGATAACAGCAGCTCTTAATGGAGCACTCACTACATTCCAGAACTGTCCTATGTGCTTAATGTGTATTGTATTTTTCAAAGATGGCCATCACAATATATCCTATCTCTCACATTCTTCCTACAATGTGACGCTGACATCCCTCCCATTGAATGGTGGTCTACATTCCCTCCCCTTGAGTGGTGGTCTATATTCCTTCCCATTGAACAGTGGTCTATATTCCCTTCCTTTGAATTTGAGTGGACCTTTGAGACTGCTCTGACCAACACAGTACAACAGAAGTGATGCTATGTGACTTCTGAAGCTAGATCATGAAGGCAAGGCAGCTTTCACTTGTCTCTCTCTCAAGATGCTCATCCTGGGACCACGATGTGAGGAAGCTCAGGCCACATGGGGAGGTTACAACATGTAGATAGATACGTCAGTCAGTAACTCCAGCTGAGGTCCCAGCTGACAACCAGCATCAACTGCCAAACATGTGTGCGGGCAAGGTTGCAGGGTGAGTCCAACCACAGCCACCAGCAGACTGCAATCTCACCAGACACCCCAAGCAAGAAGCACCTTGCTGAGCTCAGTCAATCCACAGGACAGTAAAAGAGAATAAAGTAACTGTTGCTGTGATTTGTTCCACAGGACATGAATAACTGGGACGTGTTATCAACATTTAATCCACACATCAACCCCATGAGGTAGGTGTTACTATTATCCTCTTTTACAAATTGGGAAACTGACGCACAGAGAAATAAAGTAACGTTCCCAAGGTTACACCATTTCTACACAGCAGAGGCAGGATTTGAACCCAGGCACTGCCTGAGACTCTTAACCACTGTGCTATGCTCATGTCCAGGATCCGAGAGTCACCTGAAGTGCTTGCTAAAAAAAAGATATTCGTGTTAATATGTATGTCTCAGTGTTTAACTTCTATCTAATACTTGCTACTGTCCCCTTGAACAGAGTAGATCTCCTGGTATGTACTGAGTAGAAAAGAGTATAATCTAGCCAGAACTGAATAACACTTTTGTTTTCATTTGGCCCACTGTAATATAAAACTCTTTTCTCAGTATCACGACACCTGTGTACTTCCTAATTCAAGGCTAAGTACCCCAGCATGATGGAAGGAATGAGGACTTTATTCCCTTATTCTAAGCATCTTGTAATATTGAAACATTGTTTCCTAGTAAAAGCAGAGTCCCCATTCTTCACAGAGAAATCTATAAATCTATTAATAACCT